CACAGCCTGCCCCTGCTCAGGTACATCTTTGTGCGGGAGAGGGTCACCGTCGTCCACGCCCACAGCTCCTTCTCCGCCATGGCCCACGACGCCCTCTTCCACGCCAAGACCATGGGGCTGCGGACGGTGTTCACCGACCACTCCCTCTTCGGGTTTGCCGATGTCAGCTCGGTGCTCACCAACAAGCTCCTGACGGTGTCCCTCTGCGACACGAACCACATCATCTGCGTCTCCTACACGAGTAAGGAAAACACGGTGCTGCGAGCGGCTTTGGACCCGCGGATAGTCTCCGTCATCCCCAATGCAGTCGATCCCACCGACTTCACTCCGGACCCGACGAGGAGGGATGACGGTGCAATAACAATTGTCGTTGTCAGCAGACTTGTTTACAGAAAAGGTAATGCGGGATAACACGTAACTGTATTTTGTTGGTGTTTTTTTTTTTTGTCTTTAGGGTGTGGTAGGAAAGTTCTTGGTTAAGTACCACTTGCCCTGTGCCTGTGGTATGGACCGCATGTGACGCGGGAGTCTGGCTGCTCTGTAAGGTGATGGTTCTGAGCTTTCACGTCTGTGAAAGCTTCTTCCAGAAAAAGAAATGTGCGTTTCATTTTGCGCATGTTGGGTTCAGAGGTGTATTTCGTTTTCAGTATTGAAGATACTGAAATTTGTAAAATGGAAGGTTTGGCTTACATTGGGGATATGATTTAGGCCCTACTCTATATATAGTTAGAAATGTTTTCACTGTTTTTTATTTAATCAAGCAACAGCAACTTAAGTGATCAATGACTTTTTTTCATAGCTGTCTCCCAATAGAGCACAAGTTGTCTTATTCTCAGAATTTTGTGTTCAGCAGAGTAACTATCCTCAAAAGGCTTTTTTTTTTTCCTTCTCTTGAGTAGAGTTATAGCAGTAGGCTACATCACGATGAGTTCTAAAATCAAATACCATAACAGCTTATCCTAAATTTTGTACTCTTAGGTATAGATTTGCTTAGTGGTATAATTCCTGAGCTCTGTCAGAAATATCCAGAGTTACACTTCTTAGTTGGAGGAGAAGGACCAAAACGAATCGTGCTGGAGGAGGTCCGGGAAAGATACCAGCTACATGACAGGTTTGTTCTGTGCATGTCTATGACCCTTCAATGTACTTCGTGAGTGGGGAAAACAATAGCAACACCTTTTCTGCCTACCTCCCTCCCCAAAAAAAACCCAAACCCCAAAGACTTGAGGCTGGAGAAGGTGAGAACTATTGAAGGCAAGGCAGATAGACCAGACACTATCTGAACACTTACGGAGTTGGACTATGACTCTGCAAGTTAATTCATATCAGTAGACACTGTATGAGCCTTCACTCGGGTCGGAGAAAAGCTGACATAGACGTGAATTAATCATATTCTTCTTTGAAACTGTGATGCTTGGATCACATATTATGATACGGCATAAGGTGTTAGCTAGTTTGTGTCACTGCTAGTAATTTATTTGTTTATTTTATTTTATTATTTCAGTATGAAACTCTTCAGGGTAGTGCTTATCTAGAGTGTGTTCTTGTGGTGCTACAAACATGTTCTTCTGGTGCTACGGTGTTATCAAAGTGTTTCTGTGGTGCATATGCATTTGTGTATTTCTTTGGTGTTTTCTTGTTGTTCAAAGACAGTTTTATGTGACAAGGACAAGGTCCTTAATTTTCCATTTCCTTTTATTGTTTTCTGTTGCCTGTTCCGTACTTCAGTCAGTGATTCCTCTGGAGGGACAGTAGAATTGTTACTATCATTCTTATCTCGCCCTTTTCTGTTTCCCGTATCTCTTCAAAACAATAGGTCCTGATCATTGTATCCTAAATACTTCCCCCACCTCAGACTTTGAGATTGTTCAGACCTTACACTGAGAATTCAGATAATACATCTAAACAAAGAAAGGATAACAAAATTATTAATTGCATGAAGCCATATTCTCTTACAGAACTAGAAAGCTCGGTAGCCCAGGTTTATTTTTCAGAGGTTTCTTTTGGTGTGAAAATAAGAAGCAGAGTCATCTATTTCTTCATTGCTGGAAAAATTGAGAGAAAAGGGAACAAACGTGTCTGTGTTCCTAATCTCACTATGAAGTGTGAATTGTTGGTACATTTTTCAGATATGTGTAAATTTATACAGCATTATTGCAGTCCAAATCTAGTGTTTATCTAATTTTTTTTTCTTATACACAGGGTACGTCTCCTAGGAGCCTTGGAACACCAGGATGTAAGAAATGTTCTAGTCCAGGGGCATATTTTTCTCAACACTTCCCTCACTGAGGCCTTTTGTATGGCAATTGTGGAAGCAGCAAGCTGTGGTTTACAGGTAAAAAAAAAAGAAAGTTCATAGTGATTTAGAACACATGTATCCAATTTAAACAAAGTTACGAAGTTCATGATTAAATAATATGTACCTGTAATTTTGTCTGAGGCTCTGTCTTTACAAAGGTGAGCAAATACTATCCCCGTTTACAGATCACCTGGAAGCTGAGGCAGAAGGGTTAACCAAAACTGCTTAAACTTGTGCAGAATGTGGAGTAACATGTAGATCTTCTAGCTCTCAGGTCTCTGAACTAACCGGACTGCCTCTCCAAAATGCTTTTTTCTGTGTATGCCTTTACAAAGTTTTGGGGTAGTTGATGTTCATGAAGGTTTACTTTGACAGTACTTTAAGAGGAGTTCCAGAAAGTGGCCCATGACCATGGGTGACTTTGGTCAGTCAGGCACATCGAATTACCAGACTAAAGCGTTGTACTGGAACCATTTTCTTTCTGCACCAAGAACTGATATTTGTTTTCTTATGTTAACTGAGGATGTATTTGCCTTCCTGTATATGGATTCAAGATAAGAGTTGGAGAGAGGAAAAAAAAAGTAAAAGCCCTTTCTGGCTAATTAACAACTCAGACTGACAACTCAAAAAAAGTTAAATCAACAGCCATAGAAAACGGAGATCTTACATTTAAAAATAAAAAAAATTTTTTTTTTTTTTAAATACTGATAGATAAAAGTATCTGATATACAAGAAGTATAGAAAATGTGAGGTACTTTTTTTTTACTCCAGTATCTTTTGACAGTAGTTACTGCCTAGTTGTGGTAGTTATTCCTCTGCCATCCGTTTTCCTCTGTAGAGGTGGGGAAGTTCTGCAGTTTTCTTACTGTTGCCTGCTGTTTAGAGATGGTTCCATAATGTGAGTCTCAGTAGTTTCTGATTTCCCTTTAAAAATAATTCATATTAAAATTACTGAACTTCGGAAAAATTCTTGTAAATGTTCAGTAGCCTAGAAAGCGTAAACTGAAGGTGGGTGTGGTAAACCGGTCCTTTCCAATTAGAGGTTACAGTTTTGACGAGGAACTGTGGAGAGAAAATCCAGAATCTGGTTACACAGATTTAGTTGTGTACTGTGACAAACACCTTTGGGAAAGATGTCTCATAAAACACTCACTGAACCAAGTCCTCTGTCTTGTCATGCTAATAAAAAATCATTCTGAACATCGTTAAAGGCGATTTGCTATGTTAATTCTTTTCTAGGGCCTAGACCTTCAGTTTGCATACAGGTAAAATTCCCAAAGCGTGATACCAGTCTTTGCCTTTATGGCAACCACTCGTACGGTTTTTTTCCCCTCCCCTATTCATCTTAAGTACTGCATCTAAACAGCATAATAGCAGTGTCATCCCTCTCTTTTATTGTTATGCAGCATATGTGCTATTTCTTTTGTTTCTTTCAAAGGTGGTGAGTACAAGAGTTGGCGGGATTCCTGAGGTACTTCCAGAAAATCTCATTATTTTATGTGAACCCTCCGTGAAATCTTTGTGCGATGGATTAGAAAAAGCTATTGCCCAGCTCAGATCAGGAACACTACCATCTCCGGAAACTGTTCATAATAAAGTAAAGACATTTTATACATGGAGGAATGTAGCAGAGAGAACGGAGAAAGTAAGTATAGCCACTTCTTTTAAATTCTCTTAAAGTACATTTCTGAAACAGCTGCTTCTTTAAAACATTACTATGTATAGCTCTGTGTAATCTTTCAGTGTAATTTTTCAGTGTGTTTTCTGTCAAGCACACATGGTTTAAAAAGGTTCAGAAAATACATTTTTTTTCCCCCTCCCAAATACAACCCTACATGGGTGGGTTTTTTCTATTTGCATGTTTTTCTGTGCCATAGCTGCTGATCAATATTCTAAAGAGCATTCTAGATCTTTAGTTACATTTGTACTCATATTTTTTTTCCAGTCTTCACGTTAAGTAACTTTTCTGGCATAACTGGAAAACGTGCTGTATAAGATGTATGAAAAGACACAGTTCATGGTGAAGTTTTGTCTGCCACGTGCTAACAAGTGGTTTATAATTGTGAGAGGTAGGTTAATGCCAGTAGGCTGAACATAGCTGAATTTACATAAGCTATGGATGTAATGAAAATAAATTATCACACTTTTGAAATCATATTTCAGAATTAGAACTGTGCTGCAGTGTAAAAGCTCTGCTGTTAGTGAAGAATGTTAACTGCAATGACGTTATAAACGCCTGTGGAGATCTGTCGCTTCTGAGTTCAGCCCCCCTGTTTTAAGCAAGAGTGGCTGAATCACGTTCCTCTTTATTACACTGTAATGTACTCAGATATATATTTCTTATAAGTCTCCTTGAAGTATCAGGTACAACCAGTTTATTTTATCATTTTTCAAGTACTGTCAGTACAATTCATTTTATGATTTTGTAACTGCAAGCAACATTTCAATTGCAAAGTTTTTATGGAAGTTAGTCTATGTTTCAGTTGTCTTTTATAATACTTTCTTAAAACAAAAAGAAAACCAAAATAAAACAAACAAACAAAAAGCCCCCACAACCCTGTGAAGTAAAATGTTAGTATAATTGGAAGTATGCATGGAACTTACGTTGTACAAAAGGCAGTTGGTGGTTTGTTAGCTCATTGAGAAGTTTTCTGTACGATGAAGTCTGTAATGTTCTCAAGGAAAAAGCTCTGTATCCTTTAAGCCTTTTTTGACACATATGTCAAAATGTGTCAGTGCCTATTTTGATACTGTGTAGTGGGTATTTATGGTTCTGTTCTATGAAACACAGGACTCTTTTTTTTTTTTTTTAGTGGTTAAGGTTAATATGTATATTAAGTCACTAGTAGCATGTATTTCCTTTTCATGTTTATTGAATTTTAAGAATTTTACTAAGAATTGCCAGTGTTTCTTTAAGTATTAATCAGCATCCTATTATGATTTGCTTGATTGTTCAAATACAGAGACTTGGAAGATTGACAACTCATGAATTCATGCATCTTTGTGTTGAAAATCTCGTAATTGCATGTTCAGACTCTTTTCCTATGACTGGAGTCAAGAACAGATTACAACCCATTCAATTAATTAAAAAAACCCCACACCTCTTTAGACAACATTACATGAGAGACAAACTATGCAGCCTTCCTATTTAATTAAATACTCTTGAGGTCTGTCAAAAAAGTAGAACATTTCTGCTCCTTTTTCTCCTTATATAAACTAATGAACAGTACTCATAAATCAACATTTAAAATCTGCAAAACTTTTTGGGGCTAATATTTGTCCCATCTAGTAGTCAGGAGTAGATAATTTATTTTGCACGCTGACAACAAAGTACTGCCTGGTTTTTGAGGTAGAGGCAATGTCGTTTTAAGGTCTTACTTTCTGTCTTTTCTCCATTTAGGTATATGACAGGGTTGCAGATGAAGTGGTTTTACCAATGGATGAGCGACTTAACAGACTGATGTCTCACTGTGGCCCAGTGACTGGGTGTATTTTTGCTTTTTTTGCTGTTCTGAACTTCCTTTTCTTGGCGTTTTTGAGGTGGATGACTCCAGACTCTATTATTGATGTTGCAATAGATGCCACAGGACCTAAAGGTGCATGGACTAAACGGTATTTTTTGGGGAAAAAAGGAAGAATTAATGAACTTTCAAGCTCCTATAACTCTCGAATGGAGAGGAAAGAACACACTGGCCACTAAAGGCTTTAATGCTTGCTGATAGAGACATTACTCTTAAAATTCTTCAGTTTCTTTCTGAAGTTCATGGAAAGAAGCTTGGTTAAATGTGCTACCTCAATTTAGGATTATGTTTTAATTTAGTCTTGGATTCATGCAAATTTAGGGACATCTCTTTTGCACTTAAAGCTGGGAGGGGAACGTGGGTTTTTATATGTGTCAAAATACAAGATTTTTCTCCACAACTTGAATATTGCGGAAAGTGACTGTAAACATTAACGGTATTCAGGAAAGCGGGACACAAAAATTATTAGGTTACAGTAGTCCCTGCTAATTCCTGATATTTACTGTGATTTTTATTTTGAGACTTATTTAAAAATATTTAATTAAAAACCCAACGAAACACACCTGTTCTGTCCTAAGATGAAAATGACACTTGAAATTAGTCATGAAGTCTCTTAGCATGGAAATCGCAGAGACTTAGTTCTAGCACTTATGTGCTAGTGACAGAGTTTTGCCTGCATAGCGTTATTATTTTTAAGTTCTTCCCTAGCCAAAATTTGATCATCCTGTTGCTAGATCAAAACTCCATACTGAATTTTTGATATTTTCAGAGGTGCTAATTTTGTTCACTTACGTGTGTGAAAGTGATGTAAAGCTTATGGCGTTATTTTTAAAGTGCATAGGTGAAGAAATTATATAATTTAGAGATGATACAGCCGTCAGAAACAGCTCAGGCCTGAAAACTCCTCCAGCAGACTATGCCAAAGTGTGAAGTAACGTATGTGTGTGTGCACGCACATGAGAGAGAGACACCACTGTGAAGGGCTTAACAAGCACCATCGTGCTCACTGGCTCTTTCCCCTCCCACCTCACCACTGTATTTTTATTTTTTTGGGGTTTTTTTTTTGCCCCTTTTTTACCTTCCCCTTACTTATGACCAAAATGGTGTTTCAGTCCATCTCTGGGAGGGACAGTGTTCAGTGTGCGTGATTTCACCTAGACCACATCAAGAGACACTGTCAGGGAGGTTCTGCAAGTGAGATCTTGGGAAGGTATCCCTTAAATGGAAATAACCAACAGGTATGCTTTCCATGGGGGAGGCAGGTGGAGAAACAAAAAAAGAGGGGAAGAAGAACAGTCTCCTTGCATCTGTTCACAGTCCTAAGTAATCTGTAGCTGGGACAATAGGCAGCACAGCATATGAATGTGTGAGAGGAGGCATTGATTTCAGTGATGTCAACCACCTCTAAAACTCCCCCCTGCCTAATGCACTGGATTAATTTCTTTTTCAAGCATCACTGAAGACTAAAAATCTTAGGATTTTATGGCTCTGAGTATTATGTAGTGTTGGACACTGTATTAATACTAAAACTGTGCAATAGGAAAATACTGTTTCCAGACCCTTGTAGGGCAGTATTTAAAACGCAACTTCATCAATATTGTCCTGTTTGTGTAGAGTTGTAGATACCCTAACATCTGACACTTTATAACTTCATTGAACATATTTTCAAGAAACACAGAACACTAATGTGAAATAAATGCCATATAAAAAGTCTATTTTCTTTTACTAGAATTTTTAGCGTTTGATATGTAGCGTACAATATGCATTGTATTACAATTTGAATTTTTCAAACTCTACATTAAAAGTGGAGGTCAGCTAAAATGGTGCCACACAGATTATGGATAAATGGATGGGATTAAGGTAATATTTTACCTTTCAAAGTTACTTTTTTTTTTTTTAATAAGTAACATTCATGTTTGTTACAACTTTTTTAAAAAAATACTGACTGTCATTCCAGGGAAATGTTACATATACAGATATTTTGAATAATGTTTCGTTGATTCTAGTTTATTTCTTTTTGGTTTCCTGCAACATCTAGATACAGAAATAAAGAGGATTGTGAGAATCTATTCAAAATACTTCTCACTTTTCTTTTGTGGAACATTATGTACATATTAACAACATAATAAAACCTTTTTATAGTCTTGTTTACAAGACAGATTTACAGTTTATCTTAAAGTTTATTTACCTTTCCATAAAGAATGGGTATTTTTATTAATATGTGGGAACATACAATTAGAAAGTACAGAAATATACTCCATATTGCTGCTTCCCATGGCTGGTGGTTGGACTTCTTATGTGAAAGGTAATGGTTGAAAAACATTCTGCACAAGCTGCCACAAAAAATTAAACCATAACTGGTTTAACTGCAAATATGCTGTTTCTCAAGTAATGCAACTTGCATTGCACGCAACTCCTTGCGGGACTGATTCACTTACCAGCCTTGTGCATTGGAGTAAGAGATGATGTCACTGAATCATTTAGAGTTTTAAAAAGCATCAGTGGGTGAAATTGAAAAGTTTGAATAAAATAACAGCAATAATAGAAAAAAATGAACAAAGTTCATGAGTGTATTTTAGGAGTAGGTATTTAGAAATGAATAACTATTTAAAAAATCTAAAATGGTTCAGTTGTGCTTGTAGGTAGCATTTGCTCATTGTGAAATACTAAGGAAAAGTTACCACATAGAGAGTGATACTGCCTGTGGTACGTCTTGCGTAGAGCAGAGCCTCCTGTCTGAGGGAGGAGGGAACACCCAAAAACCTTCTACACAGAAGGTCCCCTCCTTTCATAGAGGGGACTGTTGATCTGCAGTGAGATTCTGCCCCACGGGCACAAGGAGAAATTGTGTTTCCAATACATTATATGCTGACACTGTGAATTAAGGTAGAGACGCGTGTTCGGTGATTGACAACTGTATGTTAAACCAGACCAAGTATCAAGCAAAGTATGAATGTAAGATTTGCCTTTCAGATTGTGTTTTAGTGGCTGTGGATACATCTGTAAGACGGTAAATGCACTGTAACGTACTTATTTTTGTGGTCAAGTTTTTCTGCATCTTTTTAAAATAAACTTACTTTCTCCCCTTTTGATATTTATTTCTCTTCGCTAGTCCTTTTTTTCATATATGCTTAGGCTTATACACAAATAACTGTAAAAGTGCATCTTTTTGATGCTCCAGTAAAATACAGACTTTATGTAAATAGATATAAGAACAATCAATCTCAAAAGAAAATGGTTTTACATACTTTTTAAAAATTAAAAAGTATTTAAATATTTTTAATATTTGATTTGTTATCATTAAACTACTCTCATCATATTTGCTGTACATCTTTTATGACACTCAGTTGTACGTTGACTTCCACAGTTTTTCTTAATTACTTGAGCATTGACATAGTCAGATAAAAGGTGGATTTTTTTTTTTGTTAAGGGAACAAAACTAAAGGCAAGACGCTGTTACACATCTGAATTTAACCATTGTACTGAAATTACACATTTTTCTTGTAAATTTAACAGGTAGATCAGATTATTTTCAGATTCTGGCTTACTTCAATACTGGCTTAACTCTGGAGGTGATATTGGTGTGGGATTTGTTGAAATTTAACCATGCATGAGTTGGTTGTCTAGTACACATTGGCTCTGTGAGCAGGTTGTTTAATTGGGAGGGACTGGTGGCCTGCGGCTGGAGAAGGAGCCATCCCCTGCTAGTGCAGGCGTTGGAGGCAGATGGAAAATTAATTACCTGCTGGAGTTTGCCATCTTCCTGCCCAGGCAGCAGCAGGAGTTCAGATAAGCAGACCTTCCGTGGCGCGCTGGGTGGCGGGTGGGTGAGAGGAGTCCCGCATCTGCTCGTTTGAGAGCAACTGGTGAGTCACGACACGCATCCGCTTTCAAAACCAGGGGTGTTGTAAGTGTGCTGACCTAAGGAGGCGGAAATGAGGCAAGGCTTGTGTGGGAAGTAGTATCATTTATTACATCAAACTGGTAGAAAAGAAATAGCTAGGCTCTCCAGTACGTTTTTGTTCTAATCTCTTCCCTTTGAGGCAGAGAGTTTCTGTCTCCTTTTTCTTCCCAGTTGTCTTACATTCATTGAATATATTTAATATTCAGACTCTCAACTATATGCATTAGAAATACACTGCTGTATTCAAAGAGTGTCTAGCATACGAATAGACCAATACTGGCTTTAATTTCTTTGAGAAGAGGAGCCCTCTAATCTTTATTTCCTTGCCAAATTCTTCAGGTCATATCTGACATTTCTCACTGTTGGCCGAAGTTAAGGTGAACTGTAGTGAAAATGAGTTGTCTTCTAAGCTGGGCTGCTTTTCATGCTTATTCCTTGCGTGTTTGTAATTTAATGATATATAAACATTAGTTTTCCTGTTCTTTGGAGGATCTAAGCTAGACTACTTCATTCACCATCTCACGACAATTTTACTGAAGGATTATTACATGTCTGGATATTTTCATTTGACAATTTAGTAATTAGTCTAGCCAGAAGCTAGCGTGATTCATGAGGTAGTCTGGGCATGCTGCAGAAGTTCTTGGCATGTTTTTTCTGCAGAGGGCTGACTGTTCACTCCAGCCTATCGATGGAGTTGCACAATCCGTCTCATTCAACTCACAATGCCGCTGCCCAAAACAGTGAGGGAGGAAAGACGAGAGTCCTGTTTCTGTGTTGTCGTTGCTCTTCCATTATATCTGTTCTCATGCCTACATTACGTTGCTCGCCCTTCTTTAGTTTCAGAAATACCAAAAGTTTCTGAGTGATCACACCGGATCTCGCTACAGCTTACCTGACTACCACCTTCACCAATAAGAATACTTCCCACCATGCTGTTCAGTCGTATTCCCACTGATGATTCTTTTAAATCCATCACAGTAATTTCCCCAGTGTTCTTGTATGCTAAAAGCAGATTAAGAGATTACATGAGCTTTTCTCAAATGACTCCATCATTTAACTAAAAATCCTTAGCTGCCTTGTTCTGAAGCCAGGAGGGTGATTTTGCTGCTACGCAAATGCAGCTTCTTCTTCTGGAAGAGTCACGTTCCTGTGACTGCTTCCAAGTGGTCAAACTTCCTCGTGTTTTTTTTAGACTACCTGGAGGGCTCTTCACTATTACTGGAATCTCACCTTCCTTTATGGACAAGAGAATTTCAGTGGAAATCACTTGATCTCCAGTTTCTTCTATTTTTCTGAGCATTGTGGACTGCTACAATTCTACCTGCTATCTAGCAGGCTGGTTGTGAAAGAAGATCAATCAATCTCTGTTGCAACCAAAAGTCTGCTTTCTGGCCTTGCTCTTAAA